AAAACTGGTTAAGCTGCTGTTTTGTAATGGAGCTGAACTATGAACTGGCTATTGTTCAGTCAGTGAGACTAGTTTAAAAAGGCAAGCAATATCTGGATAAACTTGATTTAAAAATATGATCTCAATTAAATTAAAAAGTTAAAGTTAGCAGGGGCTGTCTGTGAGGACATAGTTCTGGAAACCAGGGGAGATAAGCTAAAACTGGTCAAATATGATCTATTTTTTCTTATGAGCAACCGAGCAGCAGCACTGGGCAAGCAGACAGAGAGGACTGACAGAGACCAGTCCAAGCAGGAGGAAATGAATGACAATCGTACAATCTCTCACAAAAAGAAAAAAAAGCTTATTTTTCAATAAAAAGCAGAGAAGGGAAAAACAGTTTTTCACCACTAAGGTTATTTGCTTTTCAAACCTAAAATCCTAAAGTTTTTTTCATAGGGCTTAACATAGATGGACAGATTCCCAGGCTGATCAGTAAACCCTCTGATGGAACTACCAAAAAGGACAATTTCTGTTTTATCCACTATTTATCATACAGCTAAAGGAGGTTTTGTGCCATCCCGTTCTTAAAGTCCTGAAAGCCTATGATGATGCTATCCAGCCTGGAGCTGTCAGACCTGAGAGGCAGATATAGTTGAATATCATCAGCATAGGAGTAAAAGGAGATAATAGGAAACACAAAGTGCTTTTCCATTTACCATTTCTTCAGTAACTTAAAAGTAAAGAAAATTGAATTAAAAAGAAAATTAAAATCATGATCTGGACCAGTGGCTCCCAAACTTTTTTTGCTTGGCCCCCCTTTGTTTTACAAGAAAAGAGATTTTTTTTAAAAAACTTCTGCCAGGTTGGAGATTTTTGCAAACTCAGTTTTTGCGTTTACGTGTGGACGACTAGAATACGGAGTTCGTCACGCAACGTGAAAGGTGTGTGCCTTTTTCACGTATGTGCAAAATTGGTGCGAAAAATTGGTGCCCCTCCCCCTCCAGCAATGGCTCTGCGCCCCCCACTTTGGGAACCTCTGATCCCTAGTTACTAAAATTCCTGGAATTTAAAAATTTAAACACTGTGCTGTTATTGGTGTAGAGTACTGTTGTAATTACTAGTTATGGTTCCTCACCTGATGAAGGGTTAACCATTTCTAAGCCTTCCTTGTTAATGTGAACTGTG